GAGGGAGGCTTTCTATTGTTCATAGAAGCAATATCCACAATAACCAGACTGTGGGAAGACCTGAGATGTCCATCGATAGATGAATGGATAAAGATGTGGTATATTTATATGATGGAATATTACTCAGACATCAGAGGATGTAAACTTACTGTTTACATCCATGTGGGTGGAATTGGAGGAGATTATGCTGAGTGAAATAAATCAAACAGAGAAAGACAATTAATCATATGGTTTCACTCATATGTAGAACATAAGAAACAGGCAGATCATTGGGAATGGGAAGGAAAATTGAGTGGGAAGTCATCAGAGAGGGAGAAAAACAATTAGAAACTCTTAACTACAGAAAACAAATTGAGGATTGCTGGAGGAAAGAGGATGGGATAATGGGTGGTGGGCATTAAGGAGGGCATGTGATGTGATGAGCACTGGGTGATATATGAAACTGATAAATTATTGAACACTATATCTGAAAGTAATGATGTACTATAAGTTGGCTAGTTGAATTTTTAAAGTCTGTTATGGTTTGTCTCCCTCTCTGATTTCATCTTGTTTTATTTTTCCCTCCCTTCCCCTATGACCCTCTGCTTTGTTTCTTAAATTCCACATATGAGTGAGATCCTATGATAATTGTCTTTTTCTTGATTTATTTCACTTGGTGTGGATGGAACTAGAGGGTATTAGGTTAAGTGAAATAAGTCAATCTGAGCTCTGTTATTTCCTTGAAAGAAATTTGCCTCATTTTCTCCCTATTTATTATCATCACTTTCATCTGTTTAAACTTTTTGTCTGTGATCCAGAAAGGTATCTCCAGTTAGTCTCTTACATCTTGAACTTTAATTTAATCTTTCTGATTTACCAAACCTAGATATGCTATTCTTTCACAAGTAAACTTTGCTCGTAGTACCCTGTTCTGATGATCTACTACTATTCCTAGAGTTGGTATTTATTTTTATTGTGTCATTCTGAATCTAAAATGTCCTTATTTTGCTTGCAGTAAATTTATTTCAGTGAGAGATGATTAACACTAGGAAATGGATCTTGCCTCTTACATTGCAATCCCTATAATTTCATTTGCTGTCTGCCATTCCCCTCCAATTCCACACTTCATTTCTGTATTGAAAAGGAAGGTTCTATTTAATCAAGGTTTTGGCATATGGGCAACAATAGAAGCTGTAAATATTGCCCTGGGCTCTACAAGGGTTTTAAATGGGGCTTTATCAAATTTTCTAACTCAGCAACTCAATCTAGCACATTATAGGATCAGAGATGAAGTATTAAGAGACTGTTCTGGGATTGGCTGAGCAAGTCATGTCCCATCACCAGTCCCCATTGGATGATCTAGATAAGGGGTCACCAAACTACAGCCTGCAAGGCAAATATAGCTCATCTGTTTTTTAAATAAAGTTTTATTGAAACATAGCCATACTTCCCCATTAATATATTGTCTGTGGCAGCTTTCAAGCTGCAATAACAGAGAGGAATGGTGACAGCAAAGACACTGAGGCCTGCAGAGCCTAAACTATTTATTATCCGGCTCTTCATAGAAAAAAAAAAATTGCCACACATAATCTAAACTCCCTACCCCCAGTATAAACAAGAGTGCCAAGGACTCTGACTCGCCTTTCTTCTGCACTGTCATCCATAAGTAATATGGTCTTCTTTGCCAGTAAGCAGCCAGAATAGCCTGGGGCATAAAAAGTATCTATTTATAGCTTATCACCAAGATATCCTTATTATGGTTGTCAGATAAAATATGGATGCCCAGGTAAATTTAAATTTCAGTATATATCCCATGAAATATTTGTCCATCTGAGATTCCAATTTAACTGAGTATCCTGTATTTTGATTTTTGCCAGTTGCCAGTTAAGCCTAGCAACTCTACTTCTGATGTATACCCAGTGGATATATGCAGATCAACTAAAACATCAGGTCCCACTGTATTAAAGGAACCAAAACAGCCCATGTATAACCTATTTGTAAGCTAGTATTTTTTTACTTTAAATAAGAAAAGACCCAGTTCCAGTTGGATTAAGCAGTAATGAAATGTATTATTTTAAATCGTGGAGTCCACAGTCAGAGACTCCAAATTTACATTTCTATGATTCCTGTTGATCTCCCTCCTCTTTGTGCTGGACCAGTCCTCAAAGTGTTGCAAGATAGCTGCAGAAATTTCACATGTTACATACAACCAGAGTTACAACTTCTAGAGTCAGCAATGAAACCATATAATTTTGGGGGTATCTTTTGGAGAAGCAGGAAACCATTTTCCAGAAGCACTATAGTAATATTCCATTGAAGTTTCCTTGCCTAGGATTGACAAAGGAAATAAGACATCATGATTATCTTGTGAAAAAAATTTGGAGCAGGATATTAAGAAGTCAACCTTGATGACTACTACAGTTCACCTCTTTGGCTGCCCAATAACTACACATATTTTTAGAAATGCTAATATCTACGTAAACATATTTATATCCTTTCTGAAGAAAGTCTAAAATCTCTTCTGCACCCAGATCCAAATACAAATTCTCCAGTTTATGTGCAGCCCTCCTCATCAGTTGCCGATATGGCTTCTTCAAAACTTGGACAAAGAGATTAGGGATCCAAACCGAAAATAATGAACACAAAAAGGGCAGAAAGGACAGGTTAACAATAATAAAATTCCCACTTAAAGATCTTCATTTAGATATGACCTTTTATTATAAAAATATTTGGTTTCTAACTATAGATTTCTGTCTCCTTCCCTTCCCTCTTGGTCTCGGATCAACCTCTGCCTTGAAGGAGTGTGAAACAGTTGCCTTCATGATGAGGGAGCAGGAGGCTGGCTGAGGACAAAGCAAAAGCTGACACCTTGCACCCACTCTCCACTCAATTCCCTCGGTAATATGTGTGACATTCCTCAGCCACCTCTGGCTGCCCTAAAGGAAAAGCAAATAGCTAACTTGCAGAGATCACAATCCTGCAAAATAGGAGTCTCCCTTGGTTTACCAATGTCCTAGAGATTTACAACAAAGAAGCTATCTTAACAATAGCACAATTTCCAGAGGCAAATAACTCAGTTCCTCAAGCCCTAAATAAAGTTAAATTTCTTCTAAACCCAAATCTCACTAACAAGGACCCTTGATGGAGAAATGTGAAACTTTATCTCTAGATCTCCAAGATAGTGTTGAGAATCATTCCCAAGCATATGGCCAGCCCATTGATATACATCTAAAGGGTCTCACAAGAAGATTTTTACTACTAGTAATAAATAACCTTTCTCCCAACAATAGCTAGCCCCTCAAGGTCCTGGAGACCTTGCTTCCAAAATTCCTTAGAGACTAACATCACTCCCTTTGTTCTCACCTACCCAACTCCTGTGTATATAATCAGCCACTCCTCAGGATAACGGGGCAGCAGCTCTTTCTGCCCATGGGTCCTGTCCCCGTGCTTTAATAAACCACCATTTTGTACCAAAGATGTCTCAAGAATTCTTTCTTGGTCATTGGCTCCGGACCTCACCCCACCGAACCTCACCTAGGTTCTAGAACTTCATCATTCAGTTGGGAGGCATCATGAAGAATCTGATCTTTTACCCAGGACTGGCCTTTTTCCAGGCAGAGTGACTGATAAGAGGCACTCTAATGAAACCCAAATATTGTAGCCTGCTAAATTTCTGGCTCTCTGTCGCTATTTAGACTGAGGTTAGTTAAGATAGAGTATGTGGCTGTGTAACCATCAGTGGACTTAGTCATAAATCAAAGGCACAAATGATCTCTTTTTGAAAAACTGTATTTATTTCTAATATACATTTGGTTAGACCACCTTCATCCAAATATTTTCTTTTAGGAATTTACCAATGGCACTAGGAAGAATTAAATCACCTCAAATCTTAAACTTTCCTTGTGGTTTTCCTTATACTAGAACCTGTATAGGAATTGATCTATGTCACAGTACACAACAAGCAACAGTTTAAATGACTGTGGGTGAATGCTTAACTTGGATTATCCACTGCCTGGGTATTCTCACTTACTGTTATGCCTGAGTTTTTGCGTCCAAGAGACCACCAAGGAGCCAAGCACCAATGCAATCACATGAGGGTTTATTTGACAAGCTTAAGCCTGGGCCCAAGTATACCCGACACAGCGGAGTAGGGACTTGGACCCCGAACCAGATTACAGTCAGAGTTTTTAAAGGCAGAGTAGGGGTGGACTCAGCAGTGGGTGAGGACAAAGGGGGTTATGGATGATGTAAGTCTCTAAGGAATTCTGGAAGCGAGGTCTCCAGGACCTTGAGGGGCTAGCTGTTGTCTGAGGAAAAGGTTATTCATTACCAATAATAAAAATCTTCCTGTGAGACTCTTTAGATGTATATTAGTGGGTCATATACTTAGGAATGATTCCTGACACTATCTTGGAGGTTTAGAGATAAAGTTTCCTAAAGGAATTGTTAAAGTAGACTTACAGGATTCTGGTCAGACCTGTCGGGGTAGGGGGTCAGTCAGGCTAGGATTGTCCTTAGCAAAATCTCAGGGTGAGGGCAGTTAAGTCCCCAGGGGAGAGCCACTCTGTCTGTTTCAAGGGCTTGTCAATAGGTGAGGAATTTTAATGATTTTCTTCTTCCTCTGTTTCCCACATCAGCTAAACTTGAGGTGGAATGGCCTTAATTTTCTCAGCCTCCACATTTCCCCCTGAACAATTTTGACCCTTAAATCTTTAAGGTTGTTGAAAGTGGAAGGTCTCATCTTCTGTAACTTCTTCCTGCTGAGTAGGGGTGTAGAGTTGTCCCTACCTACTCCAGTCAACATTGATCAGTTGGGGAATGTGTAGGGGAGTTACGAAAGACGGAGGCAGCTGAATCCAGGGGTTAAAATCAATCATTAAAGGAGAGAGGGACTGTTTAAAGTGCTAACATGAGTAGGTCAGAACCCAAGAAATATTTTGTGATAAGGAACATCAAGATGGCTGCACTTATGTCAGGGCTAGACTCGGGGTGGGAACAGCCTTGTTTTTCTTGGCCTCCACACTTACCACCACTCCTTTCTCCATTCAGCAGATACTCCCTTTAGGGCATGTTCTTTGGAGCACTCCACTTTATTTTACCACTTTCTCTGTCCCTGAGGAAGATTTCAACACCAAGAAACAGAAAATGGTCTATGCTCATTTTGCTATTCTATACATATCACCTCAACGAAACAAAAATCTGCAATATTAAATCCAAATAGAGAAACACTTTTTTTTTTTTTTTTGGTGGCAAAACAGCTCAAACATTTAGAAAACATCTGCGAAATCTGTCTTTTGAGATTTCAAGGAAAGAAAACAATATTCAACATCAGAAGTTATCGTTTTCATTATTCAGAAAGAATGAAGTGGGACACTGAAAGGACCTTCTCATTTACGAAGGTAATTATTTTCTCTGGCCAATGATCATCACTACTGTGAGGTACAGGAGCTGTTTCCCTCAGATTTTAGTTTGGCTTTTTTCTGTTGTTTTGCTTGTTTTCCACAAGCCCCCACATGCTGCATGTCAATTCAAGACCCCAGAAGTGTACATACCGAATGCGGCACAGTGCCCTGCCTATAGCGTGGCAGGATGAATGCCTGAGTCACGAAGGCCTCTCCGGTGTAGGGTTGTATGTGCCCACAGGGAGATGCCTCCTGAGCTGGTAATGAGTATCCTTGGATAATAATGCCAATTCGATATTCCACACATCTAAAGTCACTTTTTATAAAAAGGCAAAACCTTAATAGGGCCATCACATTGTGTGTCCTGGGAGCTGACAGGCTTGCTTTATGAAAAGACTATTGAAGAGGTACCAGAGACAGCCCTCCCTGGGGCTCTGGCTTTTTTTTTTTTTTTTAATGGTCCCAATCCCTCCTTCCTTGTGCAAATCACACCTTAAACAAGTTAATTACCCCACCAACCATAACACATTCAACAAGGGACCTTTGAGTGCAACTCTGTAACGAGGGCTGTGTGAGGCATCCGAATACAAAGGAGAGAGGAAAGAGACTATTGGGCCCTCAGGGAACTCACATTCTAGTAAGAAAAGAAAAACAGAGGTATTGACAAACAATCACCACAGAAGGGGACAGGTACATGAGGGTGCTCTGTTGAGGCCACAGGGCATTAGGGAGAGCCTGGTTGGGGAAGAGTCAGCCTGAACTGAGTGCTGAAGGATGAGAAAGATTCTCAACAACTTTTTGGCTTTACAATGTGTTCATCCTACTTCTGTCACGGAACTCGTACCCAGTAGGAATGTATGAATGAACCCTTACATGTCTGCCTAAACTAGAATGCAAACATCTTAAAGGCACAGAATATACCTAATTTTTTTAAAGATTTTATTTTATTTATTTAACAGAGAGAGACAGAGAGAGGGAGAAACAGGCTTCCCACTGAGTAGGGAGCCTGACGTAGGGCTCGATCCTAGGACCCTGGGATCATGACTTGAGCCGAAGGCAGACACTTAACGCCTGAACCACCCATGTGCCATGAGAACGTACCTACTTACTCACTGGATTGTCCCTCCGTTTTATGTCCAGAGCTTATGCAGTGGCAGACCTTTGAAGGTCCTCAGTGCCATGTCTGCTGAATCTATGAGGAGTGAATTTTGGTCCTGAATCCCAACTCTACTTTTAGTCCATGCAAATTCAACATGTTTAATGTAAAAGTAATCCTCTCCCCACATCAAGCTCTCACTGACTTGGCCAGTTTCTATCAATAATTTAGTCACTGTCTGCATGCCACTGTCTCAAAGATCCTGCATTCCCTTGGATTCCTTCATCTTCTACTGCCTACATCCAGTTACCACAAGCATCTTATTAATTACCGCTTCGTAATGTCTCTCCCATTCCCAGGGCAGAACCCTGCTTGAGGTCACCTGAGATGCCATGCTTATCTCAGTAGTTTCCTCCTTTCTCTCCCCCTCGAAGTTCTTATCTGTCCATTCCATCCTGAAACCCTCCACTATGCTGAAAGACCTCCACCTCTGGCTTTAATCTCTTTGCCATCTACTCAAACAAAATAAAAATACAATCCTATCAAGTATCTTTTGTTTAAAATCAGACATCTTTTCCTCACATCAAAAGATACAGGGAAAAGTCTAGAAAAAAACTGTCGTGCCTTGGTATATTAGTCATATTATATATATTAATTGCTGATGCATCTAGTACCATCAACTTGGCAGCTTTAACATACATTAAGTACCTCACAGTTTTATTGGATCAGGAGTCTGGACACTGAGTTTTCTGCTTCAGGATCTTGTAGGCTGCCATCAAGGTGTTAACTGGGCTTGAATGTCATCTGAGGTTCAGGGTTATCTTCCAAGCTCATATAGTTGTGGCTCTTGGCAGAATTTGATTCCTTGGAGCAGAAGGCCTGAAGCCCTTGGCCCTAGGGGTTGCCCACAGTCCCCTGCAGGTGGCCCTCTCCATAGGCAGCTCAGAGCATGACAGTTTGCTCCTTCAAGCTCAGCAGGAGAGGAGAATGAGTGTGGATGGGGTCATATGTATATAGATACTGTGCTATTAATCACAGGAGCAACAGCCTCACCTTTACCATGTAACAAAATCACAAGTGACAACCCATCACATTTTATATATTCCCATGTTAAACAAGGGAACAAGTCCCATTGTTCCATCCATACCCAAAGGGTTTTCCATAAAGGCATGTTAAGAACTAGCTTGACTCCATTTCTGATGTTTGATTACAAAAAACTTTTAAGCCTCACTCCACCCTTTCCCCTTCTGCCTATATCTCAGCAAGCAGATAGCAAAGTCTGGGGGCTCTTTCCTAGGGAGCCAGAGGAATTCACACCATGGATGCCCTGCTACCTGTGAGATCATGACCCCAGTCACACCCTTGTGACTACCACAAAAACCTCCAGCCAGTTTTCTTTCACTGCTTTGCCGGGCCATTTTTAGACCCGCCTGAGAATCCTGCCTTGCTTTCCCACAAAGCCTTGTTATGTGAGTAATACACATTTTCATACCCTCTTGGTGTATGTATGGTATCATCCTTCTTGAATTCAAAGTGTGGGTGTCAGTCTGTCCTGTTTCTGCTGAATGTTTACAACAGGTATAAATAGCAAGAGAGGGGGGATCCAAGGCATTCACCCTAGGATCTATTCATCACCCCAACTTTAATTTGCCACAATTAGAAAAAAATGCATAGTCTCTCTACTTAAAGCCTTTTTTTAGCCTTTCTGTTGTGGGAGGCATAGAAACCATGCTACCAGGAAATTCTGCCTTGCTGCTATGAAAATATGTTGGATTACTATAGAAGGAGAAAAACAACATTTCTAAGATTTCATATTTTCAGACCTCAGTAGGAATAATCACAAACTTAATTATATTATTGACAAAGAATATTTTGAAAATGAAAAATTAATGAGAAATGTTTAAATCTTGAAATAGCATGAAATGCATGTAACAATGTGTCACAGGTGAAAATAGAATGTAGGCTCAACAAAGCAATAAAAATATGGTTATGTAGGATTGCATGTGGTGTTACATGTTCCCAGTTTTACCTTCTTGTAGGAAAAGTCCAAATGGCAAATGGGGTGTTTTTTAATATTCTCATCTCCATATAAGGTTTCCAAGATCTTTTCATTCGGGTGAAACTTCCAGTCTCTGGAATTGTGGAACTCTGGTTCGTCCACAGGCAAGGGGTGACCAAGGAAGAGGAATATATATTGGAGAATAGCCAGTAATAAGTCTCTTTAGCTTTGCTCCCCAGTGCTTGTGATAGAAAAATCTAACCTTTCCCCCTCTTGCCTTTGAGGAATGAGGCCCCGTTACTCCTCTTTTCTAGGCAGAATCCCACTTCCCCACTGCCTTTGCCTAACTAATCTTCGATTATTAGTCATATACCTCCACATGTACCCATGTTCCTGTGTGAGTGCTTCTGACTTGTATGTGGATATGTATTTTTTTTCATCTTTTTTACATTTCCATGTTGGCTGAGGAGGTAAAAATAGCCCCAAGTATAGAAGAAATGATAACCCCAAGAGTAGAAGAGAGGGGTAAAGACTCAGAAAAAGCAGAGATTAATATTTGGAGCTCCAAGGATAGACTTGTTTAAGTTAGGTGCTCTTCCTAAATCAATGATACACTCGTTAAAAATACATGAATACAAAGTTTTGAATATACCAGCTGTATGGGGAGCTTACTGTATGCAAGGACTATTTTCTTCCCTGTAGTTACAGTGCTCATCATGATGCCTGGGCCTGAAGACACCTAATTAGTATGGATGCAACTGAATTGTATACAGTATACTTTATAGTAATTACTTAGTTTAATAAGAACAGAGGTTCTTGTTTATGTTAATATACTATTATTCTTTATCCTTTGACTTATAAAATGTACAAATTATTATACAAATATGATACAAATATTCAAATTTCTGAATTTCTTTTCACAGAAAAAAATTTAAAAATATATTCTCTTGGTAGGGATTAAGAACTGCAATTGTTTAATGTTTTTATCTTTTGGTTGATAATTGATTAACATGTTCTACTGACTTGTGACTTTGTCCCCAACATTCACCTTTTCTTTGTTGCAAGCTTGTATTAGTTAGCTATTGCTGCCTAACAAACCACCTCAAGACCTAGTTATATGAAATCATTTATATTAAATCTCATAAGTCACAAAGCTGAGTGTTTCTCATAAGTCACAAAGCTGAGTGTCAGTTACCTTGATGGGCTGGCTCATATTTCTGCAAGTTAGTTTTATTCCATGTGTCTTTCATCTTCCTCCTAAGACCTGAGGGCCAGTCTAGGCATGTCCTTCTTGCAGGATGACAGAGTCTATAAAGAACCTCAATAATTTTGATATTTTAGACTGAATAATTTTTTTCTTGTGGGGAGTTACAGGCTTTTCAGCAGGATCCCTGGCCTCTCCTCACTAGATCCAGTAGAATTCCCCAAGTTGTGACAACAAATAAGGTTTCCAGATATTGCCAAAATTGCCCCCAGTTGAGAACCACTTCTCTAGTGCATAAGCAGAATTGTGCAAGGCTTTATGAGTCTTCTGCTCAGAGCTGACACACTGTCACTTCTACTTTATTCCACTGGCCAAACGAGTCACATGGAGCATGAGTCAAGAGGAGGGGCAGGCCAACCTGCTCATGGCAGAGTTACACAAGAAGGGATAGGAATACAAGGAAGTAAGAGGAACCAAACTATTAAAATAATAAGTTTACTTCAACAATTATGACTTCAAGAACCTCACTTTGGTATTTCCAAAAGCTCCAATAATATTTCCATTAATTGAAATCTTAGTAGAACAAACTTCCAGGACTTAGGTCTTATCCTATGACTACTTCCCTTTTGGTCTGATTATTTGCAGCAGCTTCTAGACATAATAAGTATCACATAGATAAAATAACATTAGCACCTTTATACTTTATATACTAGGCATTTCCATTATAACACACAAAAATATCCCATCTAAAAATTCCTTATACTGTGATCTTAAGTTCTAGGAATGATAACAGTTATTTCTCACCTTTAAAAAGGCACATTCATTTAAAACTGTGACTATTTACAAAGCAACATGGAATAGCCTGCTTGGTGTAGAGCAATAAAAATGCAGTGTGTCCTCTCTATGAATCAGATCTGTATGCATGTGCTATAGAAGTTAAGTAACACAATTTAAGATCTTATTGTTTTCAATTTAGTGGAAAAAAGGAAAACAGGTTGCATATGTTGGTAAATATATACATATTTTTTAAAGAGACACAACTGGGGTACCTGGGTAGCTCAGTTGTTAAGCGTCTGCCTTCCACTCAGGTCATGATCCCAGGGTCCTGGGATCCAGCCCCACATCGGGCTCTCTGCTAGGTGGGAAGCCTGCTTCTCCCTCTCCTGCTTCCCCTGCTTGTGTTCCCTCTCTTGCTGTCTCTCTCTGTCAAATAAATAAATAAAATTTTTTTTTTTTAAATTTAAAAATTTTTTTAATTTTTTAAAAGGGGAAAGAGCACATTGAAACTAATTCTTTCTTTTACATTCGGATAACCTTGAGCAAAGTCACTTATTCTGTCTGAGGTTCCATTTATTCAGCCACCAAGTATATTATTAGGCTGGATCATATGAAATTGCCAATATTCAACTACTTTTTCCCCTTCAAGCACAGCTATATCATGCAATTCAATAAAACAGAAAGCCACGTCAGCCCCACAATGTTTTAAAGAGGATTACGAGAGTCAGTTGTAGTCAATTTTGAATCAAACTAAGACATATACAAGGGTAAATAATCAGAAAAACACAAAAATCTGTGATGCTTATATAGAACAATCTCTGAAACAAAGATAAAACAGCATTTTCCAGGAAGCATCTGCTCCTTTTTTTAATAGCTTTGATCAAATTCCAAATTATAAAAATGAGATCACATAAAAATTAGAGTGTCTGAAAATGTTGGAGGTGGTGAGGAGAGGGAAAGGGAATAAGAGGGAGAAGAAAATTTTCTTTACAAATAGAACAAAGAATAGCACAAAAGAGACTAAAAATGAAATCAGGGTCTGTTATTCTGAAATATTCCTGTGCGGGGAAGATGAATCTATTGTTTCTTGATTCTCTAAAGCAATCAAAACTTACCCTGGAAATGAAACAAAGACTTAAATGTTTCTTCTGAAGCTGAATAAAAGATGACTCATGCTTCAAGGCAAGTTTCCTAAAAAGAGAATTTAAAAAGAATGAGGTGATAAAGAGATAGTATGAGCACAAGATTTTATTAAATTCCTTCTTAATTATAAGAGACGATGGCTCAGATGTGAGTCAGTTTGACCACCATGCATTGTTATGCTCATCTTAAGAAGAATGGAAAATGAGCAATGTCTTTCTTTAAAAAGCAATAAAAAGTAAGCACTATAATACTTAGATTAGTGCTTCCAAAACCCAATTAATCATCAGAATTACTTGGGATGCTTTCTTAAAATAAAGCACAGAGACCCTACTCCCAGTTGCCAAAATTAGACTCTCTGGCCTTGAAGTTCAAGAGTTTGATTTTTTCAGAAGTTCCATAATTTAATCACTTAAGTTTGGGGAAAAAAAAAAAAAACCTGATAAAACTTACAACCTATTGTTAGTTTCATTTATCTAAATTGATCTTATTTCCACACACCAGAGATCAAGTCTTTTTTTTTTAATTCTTACATGTATCCTGGCTTTGGTGTTCAGCGAGTCAACCTCTGTGTCCCCTGTGCTCTGAGCTTCTGTCTAACACTAGGTTAATAACTATTAATCTGCTCAGGCTTTCATAACCAAATACAACAGAGTGGATGGCTTAAATAATAGAAATTTATTCCTTCCCAGCTCTGGAAGCTGGACGTCTGAGATGAGGGTGGCAGCATAGCAGGTTCCTGTTAGTTTAAGCTCTCTTCCCAGCTGGTAAACAGACAGCTTCTCGCTGTGTCCTCAAATGGCCTTTTCTCTGTGCCAGGGGTGAAAGAGAGAGACAACAAGCCTCGTTGGTGTCTCTTCTTATAAGAACACTAATCCTATGGGATTGGAGTCTCATCTTCACAATCTCATTTAACCTTAATTACTTCCTTAGAGGCCCCATCTCCAAATAAGTCACACTGGGGGTAAAGACTTCAACATGTGAATGGTGGGGGGGGGGCACATAAACATTCAAGCTATAACAACCAATTACCCCCTTCAAAAGAATCAAGTCTGTTGATTTTGATAGGTGTTTCAAAGTGCCACTTGTGATGGAGAAAAGACTCTTAAACCAAAATAAACTACTTTATATCCTTTGTCCAAATTGTACAGGTCTCCAGCACATCGTGCACTGCCTAAAACATTAAATAAGTGGTTGTGTATTAAATAATTTTATCCCCCTTAGAGGACCAAGGAGAATATTTATGATGTCCCTCCCTGAAATGCTAGCCCCATTCTCTGGCCTCGTATGCTTTAGAACCCTAAACATCCCTCCTAGGCGGGAGGTGGGAGTTACTGTGTTCCTTATGGAAGAATCTGACGAAAGAGCATGTGGAGATGCATATGCATTTGGAGAAGTCTCCAATTTACGAGGACAAGGTTTTTTTTTTAACAAGTAATTTACAAAGACAAGCTATTGAATTTTTTTTTTTTTGACAAAGTAAAGTTATAGTAAAAAGGTCTGCTAGACTTAAGCCATCCATGCTCATTTCCTGATTAATCCCAGGGCAGATTAGATAAAGAAGACTGAATCTTCATTGAAGAAAAGGAAAAAAAGCCCAACTCTAGTCACAGCAATTTCTAGGACTTTTTCTGAAGAAAATAATCAAACATAAGATCAAAGGTATAGGTAAAGGATGATCATCAAAGAGCAAGCTCCTCCATCATTTCGTTTCCTTTCTCAGCTTCTCTCTGAGGGCTGACAGTTCTCAGAGTTTGGTTCTTTGCCCTGTCCTCTTGTCTGATAGGCTTTAAAAGCAGAGAAATGCAATTGGAAATATTGAAAGTACTAACAAAGAGAGAAGAAAGAGATAAATTATAGCATATCCAGACAATGGGACACACTGCAGTCACTGCAAGTGGTAATTACAGGAAATTTTAATGAAATGAAAATATTCCCTATGTAACATTAAGTAAAAACAGCAGAAACATCACTTCATAGTGTGGTAATTTTACCTAAATATAAGTAGTTAAGTAAATAAATGACATTCAAACAGGTAGATTAAATATATATACATCGAGGAAAAGATCGGAATGAAATATAATTTAATAATTGACTAGTTATTATTTCTGGATGTGAACTTTGAAGTCATTTGTATTTTTCTCTTTTTTAGTTTCTTTTTCCCAATTCTTTGGTAATAAAATCTTATTATGTTTGTAATCAGGACAAAATGAATAAAATAAAACAGAACAGCAATGAGTCATAGTGTTACTCCTTCTAACACTTGGGCAGATAGGAAGAATTTTGTACCTACATGGGTCTATTGACCTTCCCTATGGTAAACTAACATTTAACGTTATAAATCTGAATTTCCTACGTTTTAAATTCTTCATCTTTCTTTGTGATTTCTTCCTTTTGAGGCAACAGAATTGCCCTGAAGTGTTAAAAATAACAGCTTTCTATCTCCCATTTTTTGTAAGTCAGCTTTGAACACCTTTAGTCTGAGGTACCTGCAGGAGAGATCAATAGCTCCAATAAAGAATCAATATTCTTCAAGACAGATGTTGGGACTGGAGACACAGAGGTAAGAACCACTGATTAGAGGTAGTAGTTGAGAACAAGTAAGTAGGATCAACCAAAGAAACCTCACCAGACAAGAGGACAGGGCAAAGAACCCTGAGGACTGCCAACATTCAGAGAGAGATTGAAAAAAGAAAATAAAATGGTGGAAGAGGTTGCAAAATTGACAGAGTATGAGGCAAAAAAAAAAGGGGGGGGTGAGAAAGGTACAGTGGTGGCTGAAGAGGATAAAAGGCTTTGCTGAGGAGGGAGATGGGCAGGTGGAGAGAGAAGGGCATTTAAGTGTAAATAAGTAATACTAGCAGGAATAAAGAGACAGAAGTCTTTTTGGATACAGAGACTTTGAAAATGGAACGATAGGTTGGAAATCCAACTGTGAAAGATGTTAAATTTCAGGTTAAAAAGACGAGACTTCATTCTTCAGGCTGGAAGGGCTAGAGTGTTTAATTGCAGAGATTTTTAAAGCCTGAAATTGATGAGAGGGAGGACAAAAAGTATCCTCAATCCCACAGCTTCCTTTTATGCATTAAGAATAAAGTCAAAGGGAAGTAAGTATTTTTATAGAAAAAAAAGAACCATTTTAAAGACCCAGGAAGTGATACTTGGAATGAGGGAGTCTATTTAGAAGTATATTTTTCTACTATATATTATACATGGTCTCAAACTGCTCAGTGTCTTCTAACCATATGACCTTTGGAGAAAGTTCCTCATCGATTTCTTGGAAGGATGAAATTACTTTATATAAAGCCTGTAGAATAATAACTATAAGCACTCAACAAAAGTAAGCTTCCATTAATATTATAATTATATCTTGATCACTATAATTATATCTTGATCAATGTGATGCAATTTGGTCAAAATGTTGGATTCGGAAGAAGTAAAACTGAAGCTGTCTACACAGGTGTGTAGCCTGATGTCAGGCATTTAACTTCTCTGTTTCCCATTTCCACATGCACAGAAAAGAGCACAGTAAATTCCATCACCAAGGAGCTTGAATACCCACTAATATCCCCAGAGGAATAGCCTGAGTGGTGAGGCCATTAAATATAGCCAGGAAATCTTCATGCTTAAACGTCATGTATATGAAACATTCTAACTGCTGTCATTTGCACATAACTGGGAGCAAAATAGAAAGCTTTTTGGGAGTTGACTTTGTCAACAAAATCCCAGGCCTGGCTGCAATAGCTTGTGCCTTTTGAACCCCTAAATCCATCTCTAGGTCCCCCCAATTGCACCCACAAAAGAGGTCTTAGAAAGCTGATCAACCCAGGGAAAGGCAGCCTCTCCTAATACCTCCTCGGAAGAAGCGATAGAAGAAAGGAGAAAGCAGCAACAACCCCCTCCACGATGCACCTCCAACACACACATAGGCTGAAGAAGCCAAAGAAAAGAGAAGATGAGACTTTCTGGGGCACCTGGGTGGCTCAGTCGGCTCAGCGTCTGCCTTCGGGTCAGGTCATGATCCCGGGGTCCTGGGACGGAGCCCGCGTCGGGCTCCTGCTCATCAAGAAGTCTGCATCTTCCTCTCCCCCCAACTCTTGCTCTCTTTTGCTCTCTCTCACTCTCAAAAAAATAAATAATTTTTTTAAAAAACACTATTAAAAAAATAACACTTTTTTAAAAAGAAGAACCGGAAGTTGTCAGAATAGCTATGTGACACTCTTTGGTACCCGCCTCAGTCTCTTTTGCCAGATACAACTTCTGTGCTGTTGGTTGCTAAGGGCTGACAGCCACACCCTCCTCCATCAACTAGTTTGCCAATCAGAGCCAATGGACTCAGAGATGTTTGGGAGAAAACCCTGCAAATGAGTGGTGGCCAGCAGCTAAAGACTGGCCATTACAGGTATAAAAGCCTAACCCTTTTGCTCAAGGCGGGACAGCTCTGTGGTACCCTTTATACTCCAGAACTCGCTGGATGTGAGGCAAGAGTTCAAGGTAGAGTTCATACAGCATACTACAAGAATCCTACGGTTCTTTCAGGACTACACTTAAAATTCCAATTCAGAAAAGGGGACAATGGGAAACGCGCAGCGGTTACCTTTGAATAACAAATATCAAACCCTTCAGGGTAACCACAGCAAGGACTTGATGGGTGTGTCTGAGGCTGGTATCGCATCATTTAGACTGTAGGTCGCCAGACCATGAAGGGCTTACAGGGAACACTTCCTGGCAATGATGGTAAACAGGATCTATGTATGAGAAGATGCATACCGATGTTAGGGAACCAAACCAGCATACACAGCAAGATTTTGCTGCTGTCTCTGCAATCCACTCTTCCATAGTCCCTTATGAACAGAACTCTGATTTTGTTTGAAGTGGCAAGAATGCCGTATATAGCTACATTTTCTGTTCCAGAGTGGCAAGGGGTCACTACATGACCTAGTTCTGAACAATGAGCTAGAAGCCAAGGTTACTGGACAAAGCTTCCAGAAATACTTTTCAACCGGGAGCAGTGTAGCTGGTATAAGCCTTCACCCCCTCTCCTTTTTGCTGCTGGAGGTAGAATAGCCATCTTATGCCAGAAAGTGACAATTATTAGAGGAAAGCCACATGTTAAGAATGTCGTAATTGTAGAGTCACAGTATCAATCCTTACCTCTTTGCATCACTCTATGCCAGATTTCTTATATATCAAGTACAATTTTAATTCATAATTTATGTGAAAAGAAAAATGATCAAAGGAAATAATAAATCACTTTACCAAAAAATTCCAATGCAAATGTATAACAAATTTACAATGCAAATCTCCAATAATCAATATGATTTTTTAAAGTTTTATTCTTGGATAAGAGATTGGCAAAGGTTAACATGGAAAAATATATAGTAGCAGAAAAACTGTGGCAAAGCAGCTACTCATGACTGTTAGAAACATACACTGATATAACATTTCTGAGGGAAGGTTTAGTAAAGTATCTATATGTAAAATGTGCTCACCAGATTTGTGGTGTAAGTAGTCTAAGTAAATACATTTCTGTTTTCATATGTTTTATGGAAAGCTTCATAAAATGATTATAAAAATCACTATTCACGAACAAACTGTATAGGTAGAAAACTCAAAGGAATGCACAGATAAACTACTAGAATTCATAAATGAGTTTTAGAGTTCCTATTGATAAAAGCCAAAATCTGAAAAAAATGTACATTAACAATAGAAAATTAAATTATGGCA